AGCTAAAACAGAAGAGAAAAACTGATGCAAAACAGACTGCGTTTTTCATTCATAAACAGAGAAATATATGGACATAATACAACACTATTACAACAACTTCTCAGTATAAAATAATCTTTAAAATACTACAATTTGAACTACCATTAACAAACACAAATTCATTTTGATTTTGTGGCTTTAATCACCGGTTGTCTTCACCTAAACAACACACAAATATCACTAGACAGACATCCCTTTTTAATTCAAAAACTGGCGCCAAACTTTCAAACCAACCATGCAAAAAGGTTTCCAGCAAAATATCATTTGCTTCAACACTCCTCCTTGATATTTTTGCTGGAAACTCCAAGTCTAAATCTTAATTCTTCAAACTTGGATCTGCCTAAGGGTTTGGTCATTATGTCAGCCACTTGCTCCTCTCCTTTGCAATGAATCAGCTTTACCTCACCATTTTGCTCTGCCTCTCTCACTGCATGATACTTGATTCTTATATGTTTTGTGCGACCATGGAGTACTGGATTCTTGGACATTGCAATTGCCAACTGGTTGTCATAGTGCAGCACATTTCCTTGATTCTGTTCCAACCTTAAGTCTTTCAAGATTTTTCTCAGCCAAACCAACTGGTTGACTACAGCAGCAGCAACATATTTAGCTTCAACAGTGGATTGTGCTACCACCTCTTGGTTTTTTGAATTCCAACTTATGGCACATGCATTCAAAAAGAAAACATAACCAGAGGTGCTTTTCATGTCCTCCAAGGAGCCACCCCAATCACTATCAGTGAAGCCATGTAAACTAAAATTTTCAGCTCCCTTAAACCATATTCCTAGGTCTGGACATCCTTTAAACCGAAGGACTCTTTTCGCTGCTTGCAAATGCAGCTCACTAGGTTCATTCATGAACCTAGAGAGTAGGCTTGCTGCATACATAATTTCCGGCCTTGTTGCAGTCAAGTATAACAAACGCCCAACTATGCTTCTGCATCAACCTTAGTAGCACCATCATTTTTGCACAGCTTCACATTTTGCATCAGAGGTGTGTTGACAGGTTTGCAGTTTTCCATTGCAAATTTCTTGAGCAGTTCATTAGCATACCTTTCTTGGGAGATAAATATGCCATAAGGGGACTGCCATACTTCCATTCCCAAGAAGAAACTCATCTCCCCTAAATCGGTCATCTCAAAATCCTTGTGTAGCTCCTTCTTGAAATCCAGCAGCCTAGTGGAGTCGGTCCCTGTCACCAGCAGATCATCAACATACAAGGATACAAATATCCTTTCATTATCAACTTCTCTAACATATAGGGTGTGCTCATTTGGACTTCTTTCAAACTCCAAACTTATTAGGAACTCATTAATTCTGCTATACCAGGCCCTAGGGGTCTGTTTCAATCCATAAAGAGCCTTCCTAAAGAGGTACACCTTATCCTCTTGCCCTTCAACCGTATACCCTTCGAGTTGCTCCACAAAGATCTTTTCATCAAGCCACCCATTCAAGAAAGCAGATTTTACATCCATTTGGAAGACTTTCCACTTGAAATGGGCTGCAATTGCAAGAAGGATTCTGATGGTGTCATGCCTTGCAACTGGCGCAAAAGTGTCAGTGAAGTCCACCCCAAACTGCTGTGCATAACCCTTCACTACAAGCCTTGCTTTGTGTCTATTAACTGAACCATCAAGATTCAATTTCTTCTTATAAATCCATTTCACCTGAATAGACTTGCTGGAGCTCCCAGGTTGCATTCTTCTTAATCATGTTAAGTTCTTCTTCCATTGCAGTCCTCCACTTTTTAACTTTGGCTGCTTCAGCATAACATGTTGGTTCCATCAAGGCCAGGTTATATCTGTCATAAATTTCAGCAAAAGGTCTAGTTCCCCTGACTGGAGAATCAGCTTCAGAATCAGAGTTGAAATCTGGAGCATCCTGATTAGCTATCAAGTCTCCTCCTTGTTCCTGCATATTACTCCCTTCAATCTCGTTTCTGTCCTAGTTCCACAGCCCCTCTTCATCTACTTTTACATCTCAGTTAACCAGGAACTTTTTGGTCTTAGGATTGTAAATCCTATATACTTTGGACAAGCTACTATAACCAACAAAAATTCCAGTTTTAGCCTTCTCATCTAGCTTACTCCTTTTGCTTGCTGGAATATGAGCATAACAAATGCTTCCAAATATTTTAAGGTGGTTGATGCTTGGCTTTACTCCATACCAAGCCTCAAATGGTGTTTTGTTAACCAAGGCTTTAGTTGGCAGCCTGTTGAGAAGGGAAACTGTTGTATTTACAGCTTCAGCCCATAAAACTTTTGGAAGTCTCTTTTCAAACAGCATGCACCTTGCCATTTCCATTACAATTATGTTCTTTCTTTCACTCACACCATTTTGTGTGGTGTGTAAGGAGAGCTCAGCTGGTGCTTTATTTCGGATCCTGCACAGAGTTCTTGAAACTGGTTTGAGGTATACTCAGAACCATTGTCACTTCGGATGGTTTTCAGACTCAGACTAGTTTCATTCTCCACCATTTGCTTAAACACCTTAAACATTGCAGCCACCTCACCTTTTTGTTTCAGGAAGTAGACCCAGCACAGCCTGGTGAAGTCGTCTATAAACAACAGAAAATATTTGCTGCCATTTAGAAAGGGCACCTACATTGGACGACACACATCTATGTGTATAAGCTGAAGCTTTTCAGCAGCTCTCCAGGATTGATTTGCTGGAAATGGTTACCTGCTGATTTTCCCAAGCTGGCAAACTTGACATACCCCTTCCTTCTCCTCAATTTCGGGCATACTTTGAACAAGTTCTCTCCTCTTTATTTCCTTAAGGCCTGAATAATGAAAATGCCCAAGTCTTTTGTGCCAAACTTCAGTTTCAACACATTTTGCAGACAAAGCATGTAAAGCTGAGTTTTTCCATTCAATTGAAAAACTTTTCCCTAGCATTCTTACATTCATCAACTTATTCCCTAAGTTGTCTACTACAATGCAAGACATGTTTTGGAAATGTAGGGAGTAGTTCTTTTCTAACATTTGACCTACACTCAGCAAGCTTTGGTTGATTTCGGGTACATAAAGAACATTTGCAATATATTTAGTGCCTAATGGAGTTGGGACAGCAACCTTACCTCTTCTTTTGACTTCCACAAATTCTCCATTGTAAATCTTGACTTTGGAGTGAAAAAACCTATCAATGCTCACAAAACTTGACAGATTTGGAGTCATGTGGTTCGTACAACCACTATCAACCAGCCATACATCATCACACATGTTGTGGTTCGTGCATGAAGCCATGAAGAGTTGTTCTGCTTCTGGATTTTGTTGCTGGACCTCCACCATTGTAGCTTGCTACTCCTGCTGATTTCCTTTACTTTTACACACTTTTTCTATGTGTCCATACTGCTTGCATGACTTGCATTGTATGCCAGGTCTGAACCAACATTTAGATTCTAGATGGTTCTTCTTTTTGCAGTGCACACATGGAGGAAATGATCTTTGTCCACCACGTTTCCCTCCTTGATTGTAGCTCTTCTCTTTTCCTTTCTTTTCACCATTGCATTTCTTGTCTTCCTTTCCCTGTACTCTTCCTTTCTGACCTGCAAACATGGCTGCCTCAGTTGAGTCTTCTTGCCTCAGCTGCCTCCTTTGTTCCTAGGCTTAAAGTGAATGAACCAGCTCAGCCAAGCTGATTCGGGACAGATCTTTGGAGTCTTCTAGGGATGAAATTTTTGCTTCAAACCTCTCAGGTAAGCTGACTAGGACCTTCTCCACCACCCTCTGGTTGGTTAGCTCTTCTCCTAGTAGTTTGATTTTGTTCACCACAGCCATAAGTCTGTCCACATATTCTTTGATAGATTCTACCTCCTGCATCTTGAGCATATTCCTTGTCTGGTTACTCCTTCCAAACTCCTCCTTGAGAGTTTCCCATGCTTGTATAGGGGTCTCACATGCCATGATCCTAGAGAAGACCTAATCTGTCATGGCTGAATATATACAAGACAATGCTCTTGGAGCTTTGGCTGCTTCTTCTTCATGAACTCTCATTTGGTTAAGCGTCAAGTTGGGTCCAAGATGGGGAACTTGCTTCTCCTCTTCCACATATTGCCATAAGCCATGGCCCCTTAGGTATGTTTTCATCTTGATAGCCCAAACATGGTACTAGTCACCATTGAAAACTGGAGCAGAGATTGGAGCAGAACTGGATGCCATGGAGAAGCTTTTCTTGCGTTAGTATTCTGGTCCTGAAGGATCAAAGGAGCTCTGATACCAATTGTAGGTTTTCAGGGTTTTAAAGCTAAGAGAAAGAAGGTTATTCGTGCATGAGAGAGAGCTAAAACAGAAGAAAAACTGATGCAAAATAGACTGCGTTTTTCATTCATAAACAGAGAAATATATGGACATAATACAACACTGTTACAACAACTTCTCAGTATAAAATAATCTTTAAAATACGACAATTTGAACTACCTTTAACGAACACAAATTCATTTAGATTTTGTGGCCTTAATCACCGGCTATCTTCACCTAAACAACACACAAATATCACTTGACAGACAGCCCCTTTTTAATTCAAAAACTGGCACAAAACTTTCAAACCAGCCATGCAAAAAGGTTTCCAGCAAACTATCATTTGCTTCAACAAATCCGGCATAGCTAAAAACTAACAAAACAGTTCAGGGCACACAGTCGGGTGTGCTACTTCACCAAAACTTTGCCACAACGCTAAAAAAGAATACATAATCCATAATCATTTGCAGTATACAATGAATGCAAGATATACATTACAGTGGCAGCTACACTTCCATATCAATCTCGCTCACTTTCCATTTACAAGAATGGCATCCTATGGCGGAGGTCGTAAAGACACTTGAGCGATAGCTCCTTGTACTGCTCAAAAATTTCTGAAGGTGTTCCATTGTTCCACTTTTTAGTCTCTCCATGCGGGCTTGAAGTCTAGATAACGCCTTCTCATCCATGGGGAGAACCGCACCCTGTACAGCAGGTGGTCTGATTAACGATTCTGACTCGAGATTCCATGATTTAAATTATCGTTCTTGTTTATTAAAGGCCTGCTTCCAGCTTCTGGGTTCCCAACAGCTGCAGCCAATTGCATGCTCTTCATCCTTTCTCTAATGGCATCTAATGTCCCCGTGGTCACTGCAGCTTCAATGATGATTTCCACTGTTAAGTTTGTTTTAACTAAATGAACTGAGAAAAATTTGAAAAAGCAAAAGCAAATTGTACGTTACCTCCATATCTCTCATTTCGTTGATCACCCAAAGAATTCTCGGAGGCAAGACCTCTTGAAGCAATGGCATTACTGATTCTATTGTCTTCAGTATATGAAGGTGGTAAATTAAAGCTTGTTGGATCAGGTTTTACATTCAGTGATTTCGCATCATTTAATGAATTTGTATGTACAAGAGATAGAGGTGCAAATTCAGGTGATGAACCACTTAAAGATGATGGAGCCGGAGTTGAAATTGGTAAACTTGAAGGTGTCTGTTGATGTAGTGATGCTTTGCTAGAAATGCATCAAATGCTCAAGTCTGCAAGTTTGTGTTTGGAAGATGCAGAAGCTTACATGCAGCAGTGATTTAACGTGCATGGGAGTGTTTTTTGAGTAATAACTTGTTTAGAAAATTAAGGGTATTTAAGTAAAGTGTATTAGAAGTAATATGTGTGGTGAAATTTGAATTTTGAAAGCTGTAATGTGTGCTGTAGTTGGTGTAATTAGCAGAGAGTTGTTAAGTGTTATATACTATCTTTCTTCAATGAATATGATATGAAAAATATTTTACGGTGCTCTGTTTTTTATTTTTCTCTAATGTTCTCCAGCTGAAACCATCAAATGGTATCAGAGCCACCACAAAATCCAGAAACTTAGTATTGTAAACCTTCGATCACATCTCCAAAAACCTTCTTCATCTCAAAACGATAAATCTGTGATTGTTCCTTCTTCTTCTTGCGACAGACACGAAAAACAGGGGCATGGCAACGCAATCTGCATTGATGGCTCCACCGGTATTCAACGAAGAACATTACCACATCTGGGCAGTAAAGATGAAAGCTTTCCTTCGTGGACAGGGACTGTGGCAGTATGTGGAAGAAAACCGGTAGCCACCACCACTTGGACAGAATCCCACGTTGAACCAGTTGAGGATGCATGAGGAAGAAACAGCCAAAGCTCTAAGAGCTCTTTCTCACATACATGCTGCTGTGACTGATCTTGTTTTTACAAGAATCATGGCATACGAAAATCCCAAAGAAGCATGGGATAAATTAAGAAAAGAGTACATGGGGAGCACTACAACAAGGAATATGCAGATTCTTAATCTAAGAAGAGAATTTGAGATGCAAAGAATGCAGGAAACTGAAAAAGTAAAGGATTATGTTGATAGACTAATGAATGTTGTCAACAAAATCAGGCTTATGGGAGTGGAGTTGACTGATCTTAGGGTTGTGGAAAAGGTTTTGGTGAGTCTTCCAGAGAGATTTGAGTCCAAAATCTCTTCCTTAGAGGACTCTAAAGACATGACTCAGATCACTTTGACTGAGCTTGTCCATGCTCTCCAAGCTCAAGAGCAAAGAAGGCTTTTGAGGCAAGAAGATACTAGTGAAGGTGCTTTAGTTGCAAGCTACAAAAGCAAACCTACACAAGCACAGACAAAGAAGTATGCTGGAGATAGGAAGGGGAAAGAGAAGAGTAGCAATCAGTGGGAAATACCTGGTGGTGTTAAGGAATTTCCAGCCTAAACTCACTGTAAAAAGAAAGGGCACCCGAAGAGAAGATGCTGGTCCAGGCCTAGTATACAGTGCAGGAGTTGTAAACAATTTGGGCATATTGAAAGGGTGTGAAAAAACAAGGCAAACCAACCAATACAACAAGCAAAAGTTGGAGAGGATCAGCAACAATGTCAGGAGGCTGAACAACTTTTTGTGGCCACTTGTTACACGGCACAAAAAAGCAATGAAGCTTGGCTAATTGACAACGGCTGCACAAATCACATGGCTACAAACCTACAAAATTTTGTGAACCTAGATAGATCATATTGCTCCAGAGTAAAGATAGGAAATGGTGAGTTCATGGAGGTCAAAGGCATGGGGGATGTTGTTGTCCAAACTTGGTCAGGTACAAAAATAATCTCTCATGTGTTGTATGTTCCTAGAATTAGCCAAAATTTATTGAGTGTTGGGCAGATGTTAGAGAGAGGTTATTCCTTGCACTTTGAGAACCAAGCATGTACCATACTTGATCCTAAAGGAGCCGAATTGATGAGGGTAAAAATGCTAAGGAAAAGTTTTCCGGTTGAGTGGAAAACCACCAATGAATCTACCTTGTTAACTAGACAGGAGGAGTCAGAAACTTGGCACAAACGGCTTGGACATTACCATTATAATGCCCTCAAAGAGTTGAAGAAAAGGAACATGGTCCAAGACTTACTAGAGATTGAAGAAAAGAGTACCCTTTGCAGTGTTTGTCAAATTGGCAAATTGAGTAGACCTACATTTCCTTCGGATCAATCCTGGAGAGCAACAACAAAACTTCAGCTAATCCATTCAGATGTTTGTGGTCCTATGCAGATAGCATCATTGAGTGGAAGCAAGTATTTCATACTTTTCATAGATGATTATACACGGATGACATGGGTGTATTTTTTTAAGCTGAAAAGTGAGGTTCCAACAGTGTTTAGAAAGTATAAACTGATGGTGGAAAATAAGGTTGGAGTAAGGATCAAAGTGTTTAGAAGTGACAATGGAACTTGTAACATCTACTGAAAACTGTACAAAGCATGCATAATAACAATAGAAAAGTTGGGCCCAAAGTTTTCTTTTCATTACAATTCATGTGTCTTTTATACATAAAGAGTACTGTTTACAAAAAAATGTATTTTAAAAGACAAAACAGGGGAAACAGTGTAGCTATTCCTCATTGCTTGCCGACGCCCCTCCGACCGCATCATCACCTAGAACCTGCATCCACAAAGGAAAATAACGGGGTGAGCACAAAATAATGCTCAGTAAGTANTTACATAAAGTTCTTTACTTCATTAGAAAGTCACGATTGTGAATCAACAGATGCAAAATGTAATATGTCTATGGAACTATTATTCAAAAAGCATCTTCTGTGGCCTAGGTAGCGGCAACTAAAGTATTGTAAAACTTAAATAAATAATCATTTATTGGACATTGGACAAAAATAATTTATTACATTAACATGTTTAACATGATTTTATGGAAGACATGATCTAGATGAGTGTTCTACATTTCTCACTCATCTAGAATAAACCCGAGAAAAGAAATATAGTTCAATCTTCACTCATCACAACCACCACCAACTAAATGAAGAAAGTTGAGCTTCTGTTCATCGCTTCACCAGTCACAGGCCACCTTGTTCACCAAATTGAGTTTGCAAAGCTATTGTTAGATCGAGATGATCGTTTCTCGGTGACCGTTCTTCTCATGCATTCGCCTTCTACTGTAGCTTTTCCTGGCCTACTGTTAAACCTTCCGAGTAGACATAAACAAGGAGGCAAAGAATTTGAAAAGTTTGATGTTGATTTTGTATAGTTCCTAGCAGAGCTTTTCCCACATATTTGTTTGATTAAGCTTGCAATGCCCCAAATCCCATATACAAAAATTGCATACCAGTTTGAGACGATACTCAAATACCAAAAAACTAATCTCTAAAATTCTAATAAAATTATTAATCGCAAAGGAAACTTATTCTCCAAACCAAAACATTAAATATTCAAATCTTCAAGGTCTTACAAATCAAATAAGTCAAAATTTGAGTAGAGTTGTCAACTCGATATGGTAAAAATCATACATGAGTTAGTATAACATTTAATTTGCACAGTAATAAAAATATTAACCGAAATTCAGATATCAAGACAAAGATATCATTTCATATAATTTTATTTTTACTTCAGAACTTAATAAACTATTCACATCATTTATATATCAACATATTTTCATTTAGAACTCATGTCACATAGTGTTACCTATAGTTTGAGTAGCTCGATTAATCCCACAAGTTAAGTTCGATCACTGTTCAAAAAACTAAAAAAACTTGATTAAAACTCGAACTTGAACTCAATAATATAGTAACCGAGTCGAGTTCGAGTACCTAGATACTCGACTCGACTCGACTCGAATCCTCTAGTCGGATCAGATCATATATCACCTGTAACTGATGGCCCAGCTAAAATTTTAGATCAAAAGTGTATACAATATAACAAAGTAGTCTGGTTGGACCAGGATAATCATATCAAAGTTCATAACAGTAGGAACATGGAGCCAAAATATTCTTTCTCGTATCTTTATTTATTTATTTTAATTACAAAACATTTTTCGTTTTTTTGGCTTTGTAAAGAAAATAACTCCTAGTTGTTTCTAATGATGAAATCCTAGGTTTGAATTAAGAGGGATGAGAAAAATCACAATATCTTAACAGTGAACCAGGCTATTATAAAGCTAATGACTACACTTCATTTCTGAACCATGGAAGCTGATGACTACACTTACATTTCTGAACCATGGAAGACGATTCGAGGAGACTAAAGGGTTCATTGTGAACATATGAGTGGGTTTGATAATGTACCAAACTACCACCAGTTCACACAGTTGGGCCGTTGATTGATCTAAAGGGTGAGAATAACAAGCTAGATTCAGATGAGACACAAAAAGCCGATGAGATCATGAAATGGCTTGATCAGCAACTTGATTCATCAATTGTTTTCTTGTGATTTGGAAAAAGTGAAAGAAATTGTATTCGGTTCGGAGCAAAGTGAGCCAAGATTATTGTAGTCTCTACGTAAGCTACAGACCAAACATGTTGAGCCAAGTGATTACTGGTGATCATCTTAGGAGGTGTTGCCAATTGGGTTCTCGGAGAATATCGACTTTTTCGACCCAAATAACGGTTTTACGACCCTTTCTTACTCACTGACTTTTAACATATCATTTTATTATCCAAATTTATATTCTATTTCGATTCCGGCATCTTTACGACGTCACACCACCAACATTCGCTTCCCTAATCATCACACGCCAAAACCCCTCAAACCCTACTCCTGTGACCCCATCAATTGCAAGCAATCGAGCGATTAAGGGTTTATGCGGCTGCTCCTCCCAAGTCAAATTCTCATCAATCACAACTATCAAAATCCAACTTTCCACTCCCAAAAGACTCATCAGCCTCCCTTCTTCAAAGGTCCCAACAGTCTGGATTGAGTTTACTCTCTGTTCATTGTCGGAATATAAATTTGAGCAATTAATTAATATTTTAAAAACCTGTGGAAAATTGACGTCATTAAGCCATTATTTGATGGGAAAATGGTCATTACATCTTTATTGATTGATTGTATATACATTTATTGCAAATAATTTTTTTTGTCAACAATCTTCTAAATTCATAGAAACGTTTAGAACAAATTATGTGAACACTAAAAAATTTAATAAGATTATGTAAATAGTCAGAGAACGGTATTGAAAAACTTAGATAAATAATGATTGCTAGACAAAAATATTTTATTGCAATAATATGTGTAACATGATTTTATAAAATACCTTATTCTAGATTCCTCACTCATCTAGATAAACCCAACCCAACCCAAGAAAGTCAATATATACTTCCATCTTCTCTTATCATAGCCACCACCAACAAAATGAAGAAAGCTGAGCTTGTGTTCATCCCTCCACCAGTTTCAGGCCACCTGGTTCCCCAAATTGAGTTTGCAAAACGCTTGTTAGATCGAGGTGATCGTTTCTCAGTCACTGTTCTTCTCATGCATTCTCCTACTATCACTTCTCTTGCATCTGCGTACACCAAATCTTTTGCAGAATCTAATACTCCAATAAGGCTCATCAATCTTCCTCCTCCTGTACACTTCTCTCCTTCACAGGAGCTTCGTAAATCTATTGAAAAGTTTATAACTGAGGTCGTAGATTATCATAAAGCCTGTGTTAAAGAAGTCGTTGTCAAGGACGTTCTTTCAAACTCTAACTTAGCTCCACTTGCTGGGTTGGTGATAGATTTCTTCTGTACATCGATGATAGATGTGGCAAATGAACTTGGTGTTCCTTCTTATTTGTTCTTTACTTCTAATGCAGCTTTTCTTGGTCTCTTGATGTACCTTCCAACTCGACATGCTGATGGCAGAGAATTTGAAGAGTTTGATGGTGAGATTGTGATTCCTAGTTATGTTAATCCAGTTCCAAGCAGTGGTCTGCCTGAAGTTTTGTTAAACAAGTATGGTGGCTACACGACATTTATGAACCTTGGAAGAAGACTCAAGGAGACCAAAGGGATTATTGTGAACACATTTGAGGAGCTGGAGTCTCATGCGGTGAAGAGTTTGATGAATGATTTTGTTAATGTGCCTCCTGTTTACACAGTTGGACCGGTGATTGATCTAAAGGGAAAGAGTAATAATAAGTTAGACTCAGATGAGATCATGAAATGGCTTGATGATCAACCTGATTCATCAGTTGTGTTGATGTAGTAATGCTTTGCTGGAAATGTGTCAAATGCTCAAGTCCGCAGGTTGTGCGTGGAAGATGCAGAAGGTTACATGCTGCTGTGTTTTTTACGTGCATGGGAGTGTTTTTTGAGTAATATCTTATTTAGAAAATTAAGGGTATTTAAGTAAACTGTATTAGAAGTAAATGTGTGGTAACATTTGAATTTTGAAAGCTGTAATGTCTGCTGTAGTTGGTGTAATTAGCAGAGAGTTGTTACGTGTTATATACTGTCTTCCTTCAATGAATATGATAAGCTTTTTGCATTATTTTTATTGTGCTCTGTTTTCCTTTCTCTTTGATGATCTCCGGCTGAACCAACAAATGGTATCAGAGCCATCGCAAAAAACCAGAAACTTAGCATCCTAAACCTTTCGTTTACGACTCAAAAACACACTCCATTCTCAGCAAAAACTTAACCTGCATCTGCCTTCCTTCTTCTCTGCATCAGACGTGAAAAACAGAGCATGACAACTCAATCTGCATTGATGGCTCCACCGGTGTTCAATGGAGAACATTACCACATCTGGGCAGTAAAGATGAAAGCCTTCCTTCGTGGACAGGGACTGTGGCAGTATGTGGAAGAAAACCGGCAGCCACCACCACTTGGACAGAATCCCACGTTGAACCAGTTGAGGATGCATGAGGAAGAAACAGCCAAAGCTCCGAGAGCTCTGTCTCACATACATGCTGCTGTGACTGATCTTGTTTTTACAAGAATCATGGCATACGAAAACCCCAAAGAAGCATGGGATAAATTGAGAGAAGAGTACATGGGGAGCACTACAACAAGGAATATGCAGATTCTTAATCTAATGAGGGAATTTGAGATGCAAAGAATGCAGGAAACTGAAAAAGTAAAGGATTATGTTGATAGACTAATGAATGTTGTCAACAAAATCAGGCTTATGGGAGTGGAGTTGGCTGACCGAAGGGTTGTGGAAAAAGTTTTGGTAAGTCTTCCGGAAAGATTTGAGGCCAAAATTTCTTCTTTGAAGGACTCTAAGGACATGACTCAGATCACATTGATTGAGCTTGTTCATTCTCTCCAAGCGCAAGAACAAAGGAGACTCATAAGGCAAGAAGACATTAGTGAGGGTGCATTGGTTGCAAGCTACAAAGGCAAACCTACACAGACACAAACAAGGAAGTATGCTAGAGATAGAAAGGGGAAAGAGAAGAGTAGTAATCAGTGGGAAAGGGCTGGTGGAGTGAAAGAATTTCCAGCCTGTACTCATTATAAAAAGAAAGGGCATTCGGAGAGAAGATGCTGGTTCAGGCCTGGTATACAGTGTAGGAGTTGCAAGCAATTCAGGCATATTGAAAGGGTGTGTAAGAACAAAGGAAACCAGCCAACACAGCAAGCAGCAGTTGGGGAGGATCAGCAACAATGTCAAGAGGCTGAACAACTTTTTGTGGCCACTTGTTACACGGCACAAACCAGCAGTGAAGCTTGGTTAATTGACAGCGGCTGCACAAATCATATGGATGCAGACCTGCAAAACTTTGTGAACCTGGATAGATCATATTGTTCCAAAGTAAAGATAGGAAATGGTGAGCTCATGGAGGTCAAAGGCATGGGGGATGTTGCTGTCCAAACTTGGTCAGGTACAAAGTTAATCTCTCATATGTTATATGTTCCTAAACTTAGCCAAAATTTATTGAGTGTGGGGCAGATGTTAGAGAAGGGTTATTCATTACATTTTGAGAATCAAGCATGTACAATACTTGATCCTAAAGGAGTCGAATTGATGAGGGTAAAAATGCTAAGGAAAAGTTTTTCGGTTGAGTGGAAAACTATAAATGAATCTGCCTTGTTAACTAGACAGGAGGAGTCAGAAACTTGGCACAAACGGCTTGGACATTACCATTATAATGCTCTCAAAGAGTTGAAGAAAGGGAACATGGTCCAGGACTTACCAGAGATTGAAGAAAAGAGTACCCTCTGCAGTGTTTGTCAAATTGGCAAATTAAGTAGACCTTCATTTCCTTCGAATCAGTCTTGGAGAGCAACAACAAAACTTCAGCTAATCCATTCAGATGTTTGTGGTCCTATGCAGACAACATCATTGAGTGGAAGCAGGTATTTTATACTCTTCATAGATGATTATACACGGATGACATGGGTGTATTTTTTGAAGCTAAAAAGTGAGGTTCCTGCAGTGTTTAGAAAGTATAAACTGATGGTGGAAAATGAGGCTGGAGCAAGGATCAAAGTGTTTAGAAGTGACAATGGAACTGAATTTACTTCAAAAGAATTCAGTTCTATTTGTCTTGAAGCAGGAATCAGGCATCAATTTACTACACCATACACCCCACAGCAAAATGGGGTTAGTGAGAGAAGAAATAGGACCATCATGGAGATGGTAGGTGCATGATGGCAGAAAAACAACTTCCCAAATACTTTTGGGCGAAGCAGTAAACACTGGAGTTCATCTCCTGAATAGGCTGCCAACCAAGTCAGTCAAGGCACAAACTCCAGTTGAAGTTTGGACTGGAATTAAACCTGCAGTGGAGTATTTAAAAGTGTTCGGAAGTGTGAGTTATGTCATGGTTCCTGCAGTGAAGAGAACTAAACTTGATGATAAAGCTGAAGTTGGCATTCTCATCGGCTACAGCAGTCAATCAAAGGGTTACAGAGTGTATTATCCTGAAACAAAGAAGATGTGATAACTAGGGATGTGAGGATAGATGAAAATACAATGTGGAATTGGGAGAGTAAACAAATTGAGGTTGACAGGAACATGCAGCAGCCGATTGAAAATGTGTTTGATGAACATGAAACTGAAGAAGATGGAACCAGCAGTTCGTGGAACCAGGACTTAGCTGATGTTATGCAGGGGCAATGTGGCTGTATCAGAACCTAAAACGTATGCTGAAGCTGCTGGATCGAGGCCTAGAAAAGTGCCATGCAGGAGGAGATTTCTATGATTGAGAAGAACAACACCTGGAGGTTAGTTGAAAGACCTGAAAACAGAAGAATAATTCAAGTAAAATGGATCTATAAAACTAAAGCTCAATCCGGATGGTACAATCCACAAACACAAGGCTAGACTCGTGGCAAAAGGATTTGCAACAACAAGGTGTGGATTACACTTATAAGTTTACTCCGGTAGCAAGACATGACACTATAAGGATGATCATTGCCATGGCAGCTCAATTTGGTTGGAAAATTTTCCAACTTGATGTCAAATCTGCGTTCCTAAATGGCTGCTTAGATGAGGAATCTTTGTAGACCAACTTGAAGGTTATCAGGTAGGGTGAAGAGGGAAGGTGTACCTGCTGGAGAAGGCTTTGTATGGCCTAAAACAGGCACCTAGGGCCTAGTACAGCGGATAATGAACACCTAAAGCCTAGGCTGTGCGAAGTCCAAACAAACATACCCTTTATGTTAAAGAGCTGAGGTGATCTAATTGTGGTGTCATTGTATGTGGATGACCTGCTGATGACAGGGAGCAATTCAGATCGTTGAAGATGTTCAAACAATCCATGCAATCTGAATTTGAGATGACAGATTTGGGGGAGATGTCATATTTTCTTGGATGCAAATTTTTCAGTCCAAAAGGGAATATTTGTGCATCAAGAAAAGTATGCAAATGAAATTCTCACAAAGTTTGGAATGGAGAATTGAAACCTGCAGATACACCTTGGTTTCTAATCTGAAGCTGAGTAAAAATGATGGTGAAAAAGAAGTGGATGAGAGCATGTTTAGAGGTCTGGTAGGCTGTCTGCTGTACTTAACAGCCACACGTCCAGACCTGATGTTTAGCAAGCTATCTCTCCAGATTTATGAGTTGTCCAAGTGAATCACATCATAGAGCAGCAAAGAGGGTGTTAAGGTAGTGAAGGGAACTTCAAACCTTGCATTTGGTTTAAAAGGGCAGAAAAACTGGTTCTGCAGGGAGACACCAGACATAGTGATTGGGGAGGTTCTTTAGATGACTTGAAAAGTACCTCAGGGTATGTGTTTTATATTAATGAGGGAGCCATTAGTTGGTTGTCGAAGAAGCAAGACACGGTGGCTCAGTCCACAGCAGAGGCAGAATACATTTCTGCCGCAGCAGCTGTGAACCAAGCTGTTTGGTTCAGAAAAATTCTGTTTGATTTGAAGCAAGTTCAAGATAAGCCAACCTCTATATGGTGTGATAACCAATCAGCAGTGGCTATGGCAAAAAATCCTGTCCTCCACGGCAGAACCAAACATATCAAAATCAAATTTCATGCAGTTAGAGAAGCTGAAAATGATGGGGAAGTAACTTTGCTGCACTGCCGGGGTGTGGACCAGATTGCAGACATTATGACTAAGAGTCTGCCTAAAACCAAGTTTGAGGAACTTAGACTCAAACTTGGTGTTTCCAGCATGTGCATCAAGGGGGAGTGTTGATGTAGTGATGCTTTGCTGGAAATGTGTCAAATGCTCAAGTCTGCAGGTTGTGCGTGGAAGATGCAGAAGGTTACATGCTGCTGTGTTTTTGACGTGCATAGGAGTGTTTTTTTAGTAATATCTTGTTTAGAAAATTAAGGGTATTTAAGTAAACTGTATTAGAAGTAAATGTGTGGTAACATTTGAATTTTGAAAGCTGTAATGTCTGCTGTAGTTGGTGTAATTAGCAGAGAGTTGTTACGTGTTATATACTGTCTTCCTTCAATGAATATGACAAGCTTTTGCATTATTTTTATTGTGCTCTGTTTTCCTTTCTCTTTGATGATCTCCGGCTGAACCAACAAGTTGTTTTCTCGTGCTTTGGAAGCATGGGGAGTTTTAGGAAAGAGCAAGTGAAAGAAATAGCACTTGGATTGAAGCAAAGCGGGGTAAGGTTCTTGTGGTCATTACGGAAGCCACCACCAAAGGATAAACTTGAAAATCCTAGTTATTACAAGAGTGATGATCTCCAGGAAATCTTGCCAAATGGGTTCTTGGAAAAAACAAAGAAGGTTGGTTTGGTGTGTGGATGGGCACCACAAAAGGCGGTGTTGGCACATAAATCAGTGGGAGCATTTGTGTCACATTGTGGGTGGAATTCAATCTTGGAAAGCTTGTGGTTTGGTGTCCCAATTGTGACATGGCCTATGTATGCTGAGCAACAGCTTAATGCATTCCAACTGGTGAAAGATTTGGGACTGGCTGTGGGGTTGAAATTGGATTATAGGATCATTAAGGGGGAAGTTGTGGTTGCAGATGAGATAGCAAGAGCTATAAAATGTGTGATGGAAAGTGATAATGAGGTGAGGAAAAGGGTCAAAGAGAAGAGTGAAAAGAGTAGATTAGCAGTGATGGATGGTGGATCTTCATATGCTGCATTTGGAGGCTTAATTGATAATATATCCAGAAACAAAGCACATAAGAAGAATAGTACTCTTTAGTCTCTATTTGATCTTTTATGCATGATGTGTAATGCCTTTGTTCCAATTTCTTTAAGATTTAACTTCATGTTGAAAGTTTGTTCATGAATCTTCTTATAAACTAATATTTTATTTTTCTAAAAGTTCATCATGCATCTTTTTTTCTTTTTGTTATGATCGATGGTGTCCACACATATTTTAACTAATCTTTCGGGATCCTAAAATTATCAATCTAATAAGAGTTCTAATAGTTACTCTTATTAGAAATAGAAGAGAGATTCGAACTCAAGATTTCTTGAGTAATATTTCCAAGAATTCTCATCAAACCACTCGACCATCCAGAAGTAGTTGTCATGCATCTTCTTACATTTTATTCCAATGACATTAACCCAATTTGAGATTCTTTAACAATTGTTAAGTTGACTTTTAATGGTGATTATGGTGTTTGAAAGGAGATTGCAGCAGCGAAGCAATTACCCCACCCACTTCCTTCTTTCCCTCTGCGAGGGAGCCCCCACGGCCCTCCCTTACAATTTGTGATATGATATCATATATTTTTTGAAACTTTCTTTCTTATCTACTTAATTTAATTATATCATCATTGAAAATAAAAAAAAAATTGGGTGGCAGAGGGGTATATGTCACGTGTAAATCTATCCAATAAACCATTATATGTATATACATTACATTTAAGTAGTTTTTTGGTTTAATGCAATGGAAGACTTAGAAATCTTTTGTTCGGGGATCACTTTAAAAGAAAGAGATCTCTTGACAGACTTTAAAGTGGGGGATGAAGAATTCTGTGGTGGGTTTACGGTGGGTTTTTAGGTGGCTTTGCGATGTGGTGGGTGTTGATGGTGTGAGAACTTGGTGAATTTGATCAGTTTAATTGGAGTCGTACATTCTTGGGTGAAATAATGAAATTGATAAAGCTTGAAAAGTTAAGGATAATATTAGAATATTACCTTTAGGCAGAAGGTTAAAAATGTATTTTCAGAGTTTATTGGGCGCTAGGAATCTATTTTCGAAACCATTGAGTTGTTACGTCAATAGCAAAAACACATGGGGGTTTACAAAAATTTCCCTTCAAGCTAGTTTTCTGTATTTCCCTTGAACAAATGAGAAAGATGAACGAAATTACATATGAATTGCTCGAAGTTCCAAGATGTTAAAGAAATTCTAATACCAAGTTGGTATTCAAAGTACTCGAGATTTTCTATGATTTTGATTATAAATTCTAGATTTTCTAAGATTTTGATTATAAATGTTATTAAATTTAAAGAATATAAGACCAAGTATGCCAGATTTTTTCTTATTATAATACCATAAAATACATAGAACCTTATTGCATATTAAATTATTGAATATGATGCTTTAGATAGTAGTGTAAAATGTCACCCAAAAATTTTCGCTCTATATATTTATTGTATTTCCACATGGATGTATAACATGAATTTGTAGAACAATTGTTAGGATTCTTTTAGAATTAGGATACCACCAACACCAACAATGAAGAAAGCTGAGCTTGTGTTCATCCCTGCACCAAGACTAGGCCACCTAGTTCCCACTGTGGAGTTTGCAAAATGCTTGATCCATCGAGATGATCGTTTCTCAGTGACTGTTCTTCTCATGGATTCCCCATTTGGCAGCTCTATTTCAGCTGCATACACCAAATCACTTGCAGAATCCAACACTCCAATAAGCTTCATCAATCTTCCACCTCCTCCAGACTTCTTTCCTTTTTCACCAGAGATTCATAAATTTCAGAACAGTTTATAAAAGAGTTTGTAGATAGTCACAAAGCTTGTGTTAAAGAAGCTATTATCAAGAACGTTCTTTCAAACTCAAACTCAGCTCCACTTGCTGGGTTGATGGTTGATTTGTTTTGTACATCAATGATCGATGTGGGAAATGATGTTGGTGTTCCTTCTTATTTGTTCTTCACTTGTGGTGCAGCTTTTCTTGGTCTTATTTTAAGCCTTCCGAGTAGAAATGATCAGAATGGCAGAGAACTTGAAGAGTTTGATGATGAACTTGTGTTCACTACTTATGTCAACCCATTACCGAGAAGAGTTTTGCCTCTATCTATGTATACTAAAGATGGTAGTTACACTACTGAAGCTGTGAACCTTGGAAGAAGATTCATGGAGACTAAAGGGATTATTGTGAACTCAGATGCGGAGCTGGAATCTCATGCGGTCAAGTGTTTGATGAATGATTTTGATTGTGTGCCACCTGTTTACACAGTCGGATCGCTGATTGATCTTAAGGGTGAAAGTAATAAGTTAGTTTCAGATGAAACTCAAAAGGGTGATGAGATAATGAAGTGGCTTGATGATCAACCTGATTCATCGGTTGTGCTTTTGTGCTTTGGAAGCATGGGGAGTTTTGGTGAAGAACAAGTGAAAGAAATTGCATTTGGAATGGAGCAATGTGGGGCAAGGTTCTTGTGGTTTTTACGGAAGCCCGCACCGATGGATAAAATTGCTGACCCTAGTGATTACATTAGTGATCATTTTCAGGAAATCTTGCCAAATGGCTTCCTGGAGAGAACAAAGCAGATGGCAATGGTATGTGGATGGGTGCCACAAAAGGCGGTGTTAGCTCATAAATCAGTAGGAGGATTTGTGTCACATTGTGGGTGGAATTCAATCTTGTGGGTGGAATTCAATCTTGGAGAGCTTGTGGTTTGGTGTTCCGATTATTGCATGGCCTTTGTACGCTGAGCAAAAGTTAATGCATTCCAAACGGTGAAAGATTTGGGATTGGCTGTGGAGTTGAGACTGGGTTATACAAACAATAGTAAAGAAGTGTTAGGGGCTGTGCAAAACCGGGTACCCGAACCGGTTTAGACCAAAAAATCGGGTACCCCTAAAAAGATACCCGCAAACTGAACAGGTTTGTGGGTACCCGAACTTGATTAAAATTCATCATGAATTTTAATTTTTTACAAGATACAATTCCATCAGGGGTATTTCATTCAATAATTTTACAACTAAAGAAGCAGCAGCAAAGAAGTATGTGAAAGGAAATAGAAATACAGAATCAAATCTCTACTACTCTTTGCTTCTACTTTTTTTTTTTTTTTCTTATCCTTAATATTCTTTTTGCCTTTCAAATATCACTTAATTATAAAAGATCAAATGTAATCCACATGCTTAAGATTGCGGGACCTGACGCACTTTACTGGAGACTAGAGAATTTGAGAGAGATGAGAGCAAAGTGCGGGACCTGACACAATGATGTTGACGGGCTGAAATTTTAGGGCAATGTATTTGCCTATTTGGGGCTTTTGCCCTTTGAAAATTGAAAGTAAAAAAAAAAAAATTAAAAACTAGGTTTTCTTTTTTTTTTTTAATAAAACCGGGTACCTGGTTATCTTAAATTAAATAATCGATACCCGAACCGAAAATTTGAGTATCTTATAAAAATTACCCGAAAATTCGGGTTCGGTTCGGTTACCGGTTTTTTTTGCATAGCCCTAGTGTTAGGGGATGAGATAGTAAGAGCTATAAAATGTGTGATGGAAAGCTATAATTTGGTGAGGAAGAAGGTGAAAGAGAGAAGTGAAAAGAGCAGATTATCAGTGATGGATGGTGGATCTTCATTTGCTGCATATGGAAAACTGATTGAGGGTTTGTTAGTAAACATGACGAAATATGGAATGCTTTTATTGATTTCATTGATCTCTGCTGGCTGAAATTAAGCAGTAATTAGAGTTTCAATCAATAACTTAATTCAAGTGATTGATTGAACAATTACAGAGATTTTTTGTTATTATTACTTTCGTTTTTTACATTTACAAAGATGTATAAATTGGCCAATTGTAAGGCCTTACAATATACTGAATATACAAATTTCTTCTCTCTTTCTCTTTTCTTGGGCATACTCTGGCAGTGTCATTGTCTTGAACTGCTTCTCTTTGTCCTGCTCTTTGTCTCTGTCTTGATTCCTTACATGGTATCAGAACTTAGCTAACAGCTTCTGCTTGGCTATCAACTCAGCTTCTTTCTCTTTGTCCCTGCAAACAATAAAAAAACACCATTACCCTTCAGCATCGAACTCAACCCAAATACAACTACAACAAACCCAGACGGCCCAACTAACACAATCAACCCAATCACCACAAATAGCCCACACAACTCCGGCCCAACAACCAATCTCTATCTGTTACAACCCGCACAACCCAAGCCCACACAATTCAAAACAGGCCTAACCCAGCCCATTTTCCATATCGAATGCCGGATTACAACCCAAAATTTTTTACCCATTTAAGGCCTAACCTAGCCTCTCTTGGAACACTGGGTTACAACCCGGATTCTTTTCCCACATTGGGTTCGGATCCAAATCCCTACCCGCATCCTTTTCGAATTATTCCAACCATCGGGAACAATCACCCTAAACTAGGCGATGTTCTCTTCTCACCAGTCTCTGATGGACTTAAATTAGTCCTCATCAAACAAACCCTAACTGGATCTGACAACTATGCCTCCTAGTCTCACGATTTCTGGCGAGCCTTCATCACCAAAGACAAAAATCCATTTCTTGATTGGGCTTTTCAACCACCGCTGCAACCTCATCTTCAACGCCATTGGAATCATTGCAATATGTTGGTCTGATCATGGATCAGCAATTGTCTTTCGTTAGAGGTTGCGGCTGGGCTCCCACCAACAGAAATGGCTGTCGAGATTTGGGCTAACATCAAGGAGATATATGGGGATCTTGCCAAAATCTTCACTCTCCGGTAGCGCCTCATCGAACTCAAGCAAGGGAATAACTCAGTCACCACTTATTTCAATCGGCTCTCTACCGTTTGGAACGAGTTAGACACTGTGGAAGAAACGCTTGAGAGGCCACCAGAAACTCTCAATCAATACCACAGAATGTGAGATCACAACAGATTGTCGCATTTTTTGCTCGGATTAAATGACAGTTTTCTTTCTTTCAAGACACAGGTACTGGCCACGTCTCCACCACCCTCTCTCCGATAGAGTTTTCAACTGGCGGTGCAAGATGAAAGCCAAGCCAGTTGAAATCTAACAGAACATCACCGGATTCAATGGCGTTGGCAAGGTTGAGAGAGAATGGGGATCCACAATGGCTAGGGCACAATGAAGGTGAAAAACCTTCTCTTATATATGACGAGGTGAAGGGCTCAGATTCAATCTTAAGATTTGACGGCCAGAAAATCATCACGTTTTTAAACACATCTCACGGCTCCAATTGTGCCATGTCACGCAATGGGTCAAACAGGTCAACTTCTTGGTCAAACGTGTCAACTAGATCTGGAAATGGGTCAAATGGGTCTAGATTTGGGTCAAATGGGCCGGGAAATTCAAGATCCAATAAAAATTGATTATATTGTGATATTGTAAAAGAATAAATCATGATCGGGACCATTGCTGGAGATTACATGGTCGTCCGAATTCCAACAATAAGGAGAGAAATGGTCATTCTTCTTCTTTCCAAGTTTCTCTTGGAAATCAGTCAGCACCTACTCTCAATCTAGAACAATATAATCAATTGCTCCAATTACTGAACAATGCCTTGACTGCTCCCACTGCATCTTACGCAAGCACCTCTTACTGTTTTAATGTATTCAAAACTGATATGTGGATTATTGATTCAGGGGCTAGTGATCACATAATTTGCCACCCAAAATTTTTTACCACTATTTCCACTGCCTAATCCACTTCCATTCATATGCCGAACAAAAATATTACCCCAGCTACTCATATAGGAACCGTCCACTTATCTGCCACTTTATCACTTAAAAATGTGTTATGTGTAACTGCATTTCATTTTAATCTCATCTCAGTATCCAAAATATGTGAAGACAATAGTAGCACTATAGAGTTTTATCCTAACACATGTAAATTTTAGGACCCTTCGATTGGGAAACTGATGGGCTTAGGTAAAGTCAACAGAGGTCTATACTATTGGGCACCTATTGAATCTACTAAAAGTTTTCCTACTTGTAGTCCAAATAAAATTTCCCATTGTAATATGATGATTAATAAAAATTCCTTTATTCTTCATCAACGATTAGGTCATAGTGCAACTATCCCTCACCCTTAGTGTCCTATATGTCTATTGGCTAAACAAGCCTACATTACCTTTCCGCATAGCACTTCCACTACAACCCAATCTTTTGTTTTAATCCATCTTGATATTTAGGGGCCCTACCACACCCCAAATCATGATGGATCTAGATTTTTCCTCACCATTGTCGATGACTTTTCCTAGGGTACATGGATATTCCTCATGCAATCCAAATCCCAAAAACTTACTCACATTAAGAATTTTTTGTCCATGGTCACCACCCAGTTTTGTACTTCTGTACAAAGAGTTAGAACCGACAATGCTAGGGAGTTCTTTAATTATAATTGTTCATCTCTATTTTTATCTCTTGGCATTCTACATGAAAGCTCTTGCACATATACACCACAGCAAAATGGGGTTGTCGAAAGAAAACACCATCATCTACTTGAAGTAGCCTGTGCCCTCAAACACCAAGCCCACATATTTGTCTCTTTTTTAGGCGATTGTGTGATCATAGCCACATACCTAGTCAACCGCTTGCCAACCAAAGTTCTTCATGGTAAGACTCTTTATGAGATACTGTTCAAGAAGCCACCAGCTCTTGACCACCTTCGAGTATTTGGTTGCCTTTGTTATGTGACCACCCTTGGCTTGCATGACAAGTTTGGTACCCGAGCCACCCGTTGTATATTTATGGGATATCCTATGCTTCAGAAAGGTTACAGGCTATATGGCCCAGTTGAAAACAAGTTTTTGATCTCTAAAGATGTTGTGTTTCATGAAGACACTTTTCCGTTTGCCACAAACGACATTACTACATCTACATCACCCAGACTGGTTCCTGAAGATACTATCTAACAAGATCCTCTATTCTATATGACACTGGACCCTCCGGTTCTTCAGCCTGACTGCACTACCAATGATTCTGATACAGCAGCCACTAATGATCCCTAGGAAGAAACACCTATTCAGATTTCTACTGTTGGTTCCTCACCTGGATCCCCTATTCCAGCTGTTTCCACACCAGGATCCACTGTTCCAGTTCTAGTTATTCACACATGCCGTAGTACTCGACAGATTCAGCCTCCAATCTAGACAACAGATTATGAATGTCCTACTATTTCAGATTCCTTAGGTACATTATACCCTACCTCCAATTATGTGAGTTATAGACGTCTCTCTCCTATACACAGAGCCTATATCAGTTACATCTCTACCGATCGAAAACCCACGAGTTACTCAGATGCTATTCAATACTCTCACTGGCGTCAAGCCATGGCTGATGAACTTACTGCTCTGACTCAGAATCATACTTGGGATCTAGTGCCTCGTCCCTCTCATAGAAAACCCATTGGCTGTAAATGGGTCTACAAAATCAAGCACTGTGCTGATGGATCCATTAAACGTTACAAAGCTCGATTGGTAGCTAAAGGCTTCACTCAGCGTGAGGGCTTTGATTATCAAGAGACATTCTCACTAGTAGCCAAACATGTCACCATTCGTACTTTCCTTACAGTGGCTTCCGTTCGTGATTGGCCTCTCCATCAAATGGATGTTAACAATGCTTTCCTTCATGGTGATCTTCATGAAGAAATTTATATGGATCTTCCTCTCGACATTCACAGACAGGGGGAGAATACAGTATCTCATCTACGAAAATCCCTCTATGGCCTCAAACAAGCAT